CCTGGGCTCCAGCTGCGCTGGGGAAGCGCCAGCCGGGGGCGCAGGGTCTGGGGGCTGCCCGGCAAACCGTGAAGCCGGTAGTGCTTGGGCAGCCCTTTTCGCGTGGCTGGGAGTGGGAGGGAGGAGGGGGCGGGGTTAGGGCGGGGTTGGGGCGGGGAAGGGTGGAGTTGGGGAAGGGCTGGGGGTGGGAAATGGGCGGGGCCAGGGCCCCGTGGAGGGTCCTCTTTTTTAATTTGTTAAATATGGTAACCCTAGTGGATGCATTAGGAGCAGGCTTAATCTGGCTCCATGTGCAAGACAGAGTGTGAGGGCTGTATTGGTGAACCGGGAAGTGGGCGGGCTCACCCGCCCACTACTAAAGGCCCCTCCCCCAACCTAGCGGGAGGGACCACTGGACCCAGTACCAAATGATTACTTGGGACAACTAATAAAAAAACAGGGAGCAAGGTAACGGTCAAAGGTTCAAAATCAGGGAACCGGATGGGGGACACCGAGCAGAGAAAGTGTGAGGGCTGAGGTGCTAACACCACTAGCAGTTCATGATGGGACCTATCTGGGTGAGGCATGTATGTGACCATAGCGTGGTTTGCTTCCCACCTTCATGCAATGACTGTGCTGAGGAGTGCATTATGCAGGTGTAGTGAGAGATGCTTCGCCTAGGGCCCGGGAGGTATATTGTATTTCAAAGGTGTAAGTTATCCTGCCTACTGGGGTGGTGCATCTCCCTCCTTCTTGCCAATTCCCCAGATGAGCTCAGTTTTGCAAGAGGCGCAATGTAGCCTTGGGATTTTAATTTTGATTTGATTTGTTTCATTCCAGGTTCATCCAGTGGCAATAAAAATATAGGGGGGAGGGATAGCTCAGTGGTTTGAGCATTGGCCCGCTAAACCCAGGGTTATAAGTTCAATTCTTAAGGGGGCCACTTAGGGGTCTGGGGCAAAAATCAGTACTTGGTCCTGCTAGTGAAGGCAGGGGGCTGGTCTTGTCTTGATGACCTCTCAAGGTCCCTTCCCATTCTAGGAGATAGGATATCTCCATTTATTTATTTAACAGTGTGAACATAATCAACCTCAGCTTAGACACTGAAGGGCTGACTTTGCTGCTTCAGAGAATTTGGCCCTGGATCTTAGAGAAAATTGAAGGGAAAGCAACAACAACAACAAGCTTGCAGCAGGTAGGTAAACTTCCATTTTCCTTTCTCATTTCTGAACCCTAAAGATCCATGTTGCATTCAGTCACGTAACTACACAAATTAAAAACTTCACTTGGCAAAAATAGCCCCAGAGTCCTTTATTGGCGTCTTTCCTGGAATGCCAGCTGTTCAAGTGAAGCAGAGAGGCCAAGCTTTTGCTGATTTCCCTGCTCTAGCAGATACCTGCTCCAGATTTGTTTTTAGAAGAAATAACTTAGTGTACAGGTGGTTTAAGGGCTGAAAGGCACTGTTTTTTTTTGTAGATTATCAAGATTGATGTAATATCAGCGTTGGAACTAACTGCCAGGGCATGAGAAGTGGAATTATATTTGAAGTAAGTCTGAGGTTTGAAGTCTATCTTTGAATTCAGCTGCAGATCTTTTCAGGTGGTAATAATCCCAGTAAGGTTTTCCTCTGAACTGCATCTCAAATGAAATGAATCTCACAGCCTGAATAGCAATTAGCAGAACCGATTCTGGGAAGAAAAAAAAAAGATAACAGACCTCAAAAGCATCAATGTAAACAACAAAATCTGTGAATGCTTCCCAAGCTCTCTTCTTTGGAGGAAAATTAATCAATGTTTTCTCATGCCTTAATCATTTAAAAGGTTTGCAGGTAGCTTAAGTACAGCATCCATTAAATCACTTTAAACCCACAAGGTCCCAATTCTCTGCAAATTCTGTGTAACCCCACTGACTTCATAGCAGTTACTCCAGATTTATGCTGGTGTGACTGAGAGCTAAGGTGGCCCACTGTGAACTTTATAAATCTGTCTCCAAACATGGCCAATTTTTACAATTTATGGGACAAATCCTGGTATGGAGTAAGTGCATATATATATAGATATATATATATATACAAATACTGTTGCCAGGAGCAAATTGTGGCTCCAATCTTAGTACCCTTACACGCCACAGAGTCCACTTTCTGTTTGTTCTCTGCAGGTCTGTTGCACATTGAGCTGCTCTGGGAAGAGCTTAGAGTCATGCATTGTGTGTCTGTGGCCCATATGCTCCCTTGGGTAACCTGATTACTCATGCTGCTGGTGTGAGTTAGCTGTGCAGGTGGGCACACAGCCACTCCCAGGCTATCCTGATTAGAACCTTAGCGCAAATTCCTGCTGTCATTTTGAGGGGAAATGGAATGAGCCAGAATTTGGACCTGCTTGGGAAATGTGGTGACATCTGTTAAAAAACCAAACCAATATGTGCTACTTTTGCACAGAACCTGAGCTGCTGTAATTCACATCATTTTTATTCCCACTCCACAGACAGGTGTGGAGTTAACAAGAGGACAGTAAATGGGGATATAAAGACTTTGATCTGGAGCATTTTCCAGAAAGTTCTGAGCATTCAGCATTGTCCAGGGGCACCTCCAACTTTTACTATAGCCATTTCTGGGTTTTTTCCTCTTATACTAAATATGATTCCTCTTCCAAAATATGCACCATGGAAATTAAACAGCATGTTTTGCACACTGTATGTTAACTTTGGTATTTATAATACATCTTAAAAAGGAAAAAGGAAGATCGGTCTTGGTCTATTGTAGGGTTACCATTGTCCGGATTCTCCCAGACATGTCCGGCTTTTTTGAGTTAAAAATAGCGTCCGGGGGGAATTTGTAAATGTCCGGACTTCCCCCGCTGACAGGGCAGCTGGCCGGATCCTGCCACTTGCACAGGGCTCTGGCAGCCAGAGCCCCTCCTCCGCTTCGCCCTTCTCTCTCCTGCAGCTTGAAATCCCTCTCCTCCCCACCCCGCATTCGCAGATCGCCGGCTGGCCGTTCGCATCGGGCCTCCAGCAGTCTGGAGCTCCTCCCGCTGCTCACCCTCCCCTGCTGCCCAGCGCGCCGCTCCACAGCACTCTGAGCGGCACGGTAAGGGGGCCAGGGGGTTGGAGAAGGGGCAGGGAGGTTCTGGAGGGGACAATCAAGAGACAGGGAGCAGGGTTGGATGGGTCAGGAGTTTGGGGGGGGTCTGTCTGGGGGTGTGGATAAGGTTTTGGGCAGTCAGGGTACAGGTAGGGTCCTAGGGGGGCAGTTAGGGTGGGGGGGTCTTAGGAGGGGGCAGTTAGGGGACAAGGAACAGGGAGGCTTAGGTAGGGGGTGGGGTTCTGGAGGGCAGTTAGTGGCAGGGGTCCCAGGAGGGGGCAGTCAGGGGACAAGGAGCAGAGGGGGGTTGGGGGTTCTGAGGGGGGCAGTCAGGGGGTGGGAAGTGGGAGGGAGTATGGGGGCGGGGCAGGGCGGGGGCAGGGCTAGAGTGGGGCTCCCCCCCCCCCCCGTGTCCTCTTTTTTGATTGTGGAAATATGGTAACCCTAGGTCTATGGTCAAATATGGTCTATTGGATCAGACCAGTGTCCATCTAGTCCCATATCATGTTACTGACAGAGGCCAGTACCAGATGTTTCAGAGGAAGGTACAATAAAAACTAGGTGGTTCTAGATAAATTGCTCCCAGAGAACATTCCTCCTAATCTACAAGAGTGAAAAGTTGGGTTATGCTTTGAATAAGGCCTTCTAAAACTCTGGGTTTTTTTCACATTTGATATTGTAATATAATATAATAACTTCTGGTATAACACTGAATATTCTTTTTATCCATATAAAGGTCTAGTCCCTTTTTGAATCCTGCAAAACTCTTGGTCTTGATGATGACATGGTGAGAGAGAGAGAGAGTATTTCCTTATGTTGGTTTTGGATTAGTCTCCTTTTAGTGCAATGGACTGCTCCTTAGTACTTGTATTATAGGAAAGGGAGAATAGAAGAAATAACCTGGAAACTCTTATGTCTTTTGTAAAGGAACAACAACTTCAGATCTAGAGCTTAGGAGGACCTCTCTTTCTTAAGCAGACATGTATATTAAGTAGAGCAGGTTGGAATTTTTTTCCCTCTGACTTTTCAGCAAAGTATCAGGAACTGAAAAATTTCAGCAGACAACTTTCAGTTTAAAACAGAATATCTCTATTCAGAAATACCACTGGGGGGCCTCATGGGAGTTGTAGTTCAGATACTTCATGATCCCATTCAGCTCTGTGAGCCGGTGTAGCAAAGGTACCGTACCCTCTCATGGCCGGATGAACTGATGCAGTGCCTGCCTCAGTTTCCCTAATGTCTTCCTTGGCCTACTCTGGCAGCAGGAGTGACCTGACCCCTGCAGCAAAGCCTAGTACAGAGCCCAAGCCCCTATGAAATAACCAAATCTTCATCTCAGCTGGCCTCAGCGGGCTGCCTTTTTCTCACAGGTTTGCCTCAGCCTCTATCTTTCCCCATGCTAGTCCCAGGCCCTAGTGTCTCAAACAACTCCACTGTCCAGGGGCTGGCATGCTCTTCCCCCTGCTCAGGGGTTCAGGGAGGCTGCAGCTCCTCGGCATTCCTTCCTCCAGTCAGGCTCCTTGCCCACCACAGCACAGTCTGCCGGCTCTACCGTCCCACTCTCCTCCAATTGCTGCGATTGAGTGGGCTCCCAGAACCACCAGTGTTATGTAATCTCACCAGTCTGCTTCTCGTGGGGAGTTAGAGTCTGTGTGGGTGCTACACCATCTCCCCTCAGCACTCTGCGAAGTATTGCTTTGTAGCAATTCCAGCAGAAAATGAAATACGCCCCCCTCCCGCCAATGTTCTGTTCTGTTCTCTCACTGTTTTCTCTGCCTACCTTTTTCTTTCTAAGTAAAAAGTGCTGATGGACTGCAATTGGCAGAGAAATGGACAAGCAGGCACAGGTTACAATCAGAGTATGTTTTTCTGATCACAATACCATAATTTTATTGTTCCTGTTGAATGAGGATCTGGGTAAATTCCAGCAGTGAATATATAATCCAGCCTTGGGTTAGCCAGAGTTACTCATTTGATTTCCAGGTGTCATCTCATAACCTAATGCTTTGTGCTGGAGGTGCATGTTAATATAAGTTTTCAGTCTTTCCCTGTGAAGGAGTTATGTAACATGCAGGTAAGAGATCAGCCAACATGCACATTGAGAGAAGAATACATTGAGCAGGGTGTGGCCAAGGTCTAGATTCTGGCTGCCACAGTATGGGGGAGGAGAGTGTGCAGGGGGCCTCTCTCTCTCCCTCTAATGCACTTGCACAGGATCCAACCAGAATCTAGACCACGAGGGCTAGAGTCCGGGCAGGCCAGCAAGCAGGTGGCCATGCTTAGCTTCAAGGGGCAGGCCACTGCCATGAGCCAGCTCCTTTTAGGTAGCAGGCATTTGGAGCAGCATAGGCTGCATCTTTTTAAAGGAGAAGGTGTAACTGGCTAATTGTATTTGTTTGTTCCAGGCAGAATATCTTGGGGCCCCACTGCTTGGATACAACCGGTTCAGTTTCCTTCTCCGCACTAGGCAGCAGCCGGAATGTGACCTTAGTAATATGTACAGCACAGAAACAAGGACCAAATCCCTTTTTAACCACCATCAAAAGGTATGAAATCATTTCCACATTGGCCAGTGCACTCCCTGCCACTGCACCATTCTTAAAGCAGCTGTAGACTTCTAGCTTTTCAGCATGTGGTGTTTTGCTGAGTGAGACACTCTCAGTAAGAGCACATTTAAGGACTAGATGTTATCCTGTGTCTTATAATGCAAAAATCCTCAGGTTGTTGAGAGACGCAAAGCCTTTCTAACCTCATCCCCATATACCTCAACTACTGGGCTTGGCCACAGCAGATGTATCAAGTCACCTCCATTTCTTTATTTCAGTTTTGATATACAAACGAAAAGACGACCTATCCCAGGCACTCTCGAGGCACCATTAAAAATATAATCCAGTAAAGACACAAACAGCAGTGACAAGCCAATAACCATTCTCCTCAGAAAGAAAGCCAGTCCCCACAGACCCCTAGTGTTCCCCCAAATAAATATCCACACCTGATACATCTCCAAGCCTCAGCCCCTCCTCACAATTCCAGCTGGTGTCGTTATCTCTGATCCCAGCTTTACACATCTCACTTGGCATCCAGTAAGCCCTGAAAATAATTGCATTAATTGAAACCCTCTCATGCCAGCTTTGTGATCCTCTGACATGTTTGCTGCCAGTTTTCGGTGTCAGTGAGTTGGCCTATGTCTCAGAGCAGTTACATTTTTAATGCTGTGCAGTGCATGCCAAAATGGAATGATGGAGCCTCTTTTTCATTGCCAAAATTCTTCTCTAAAATATTGATGGACTGTTGCAATCTTTCCTTTTACAGTGCCCATCAAAATGAAAAGGTGCCATTCTGTGCAATACTTCCCTTTACTAGTACTACCAAGTGAGATCATCATCTTTCTCTACCACCCGCCACAATTTTAAGAAGTCACTGGAGAACTGAAGTGGCATATGGGGTGTTACAGAACAGAATGTGGACCCACTCTTTAAAAATAGAAAGGAGGTGATCTTGACCATTACCACACTAAAAAAGAACTTCCATTCACAGTAGAATAATGGCACCAGTATTAAGAGAAATAAGGCCCCAATTCTCACTTCTGGTTGAGCTCTACTCTCGGTGCTGAGGGGATGCGTGGGCAACAGTGGCTTGATGCCAACACTAGGGGTCTTTGGTGACTAGGGGTCACCAAATGAAATTAGTAGGCAGCAGGTTTAAAACAAACAAAAGGAAGTATTTTTTCACACAATGCACTGTCAACCTGTGGAACTCCTTGCCAGAGGATGTTATGAAGGCCAAGACTATAACAAGGGTCTAAAAAGAACTAGATAAATTCATGGAGGCTAGGTCTATCAACGGCTATTAGCCGGCTATGGGCAGGGATGGTGTCCCTAGCCTATGTTTGCGAGAAGCTGGGAATGGGTGACAGGGGATGGATCACTTGGTGATTGCTTGTTCTGTTCATTCCCTCTGGGGCATCTGGCATTGGCCACTGTTGGAGGATGGGATGCTGGGCTGGATGGACCTTTGGTCTGATCCAGTTTGGCCACTTTTATGTTCTTATGCTCAACCCTGAACAGTAGTAGGTCAGCAGAGGGCAATGTGGTGAATCTGCTCTTGATGGTGACGGGGCAGCAAGTACCCATGCTGCCCGTGGTGCCCAGGCTCCAACAATGTTCAGGGCTGCGCGCCTCTATTGGAGGTCCTTGTCTGCACCCTGGGCAGCGGGCAGCTGCCCTGCCACTCTGCGCTGAGCTCCCTTGCCAGCCCCTGGCTGAAGCGGCAGCTTGCCACCGCCTGTGGAGGAAAGAGGCACACATGTGATGGCAGCCCCCCCTGGCACCCACCACAGGGGAGCACATGCAGTGATAGTGGTGCAGGGTGAGTGTGCTGCCGGGGCGGGGGGAGAGGGCTGGGTGGAGTCCTTCTCTCTGGCCCCAGCCCCAGGGCAGCCTATATCACAAATTCCTCATCCCTGGCCCCACCCCAGAGCCCTCGCCCCCCCCGGACCCTAACCCTCTGCCCCAGCCCTGAGCCTGCTCCTGCACCGTGAACCCCTCATTCCTGGCCCCACCCCGCAGTCCTCACCCCTGCACCCCAACCCTCTGCCCCAGCCCTGAGCCCCTCCCAAACCTCTCATCCCCAGCCCCAGCCAGAGCCCTCACCCTCAGCCAGAGCCAGCACCACCCCAACCCTCTGCCCTAGCCCTCAGCCCCCTCCCACACTCCAAGCCCCTCATCCCTAGCCCCCTCCCAGAGCCCTCATCCCCCCACACCTCCCCACATTGTACAATATAGGGAAACGGTTAAATGCTTACTGTTTCCAGTCCATTTTTACATTATTTAAAAAAAAATATATTGGCTTACAAGGCAGAGGGAAGGGGATGTGGCGGGACTTGGACCCGTTCTGGGCACCAGCAAAAACTATACAAACCTGCTGCCCCTGGGTGAGGATTGAAGAGGCAGGAGTCATGGCAACAAAAGTGACAAAAATGACAGCTGATCGTGTCTGAAAAGAACAGAACAGTATGAGGCCCTGATGGACTTCAGCGAGCGGGGAGCACTAGCCAAACAAAATCGCTTTCATGCAACCGACCTGCACCTGCAGAGTAACAAAATCCATTCATCATCTGGAAAATGAAATAACATCTGTGTTTGCCTTTAGCTCAACCAGCTTTTCTGTATCTGAGTTGCCCATCACTGAATATTTTCCCAGCATGGATTTAATACTTCAGGTGGCATTTCACCGTTACAAGGAAAACAGTTAAAGGTGCACGGCTCTATTAAATTCTGGAAAATTCTTCTGACTCAGCACCTCGGATGTCCTTTGCAATGTTAACATTTTTCCACCTAACAGCATTTCATTTACCAATGAATGGATCAATCTTCATTTTGTCCACAGATGAAGTTTTGATATTTCCATTTTGTTCACATGTACAAAATAAAGCAAACGAATGTATTTTTTATGGACAAAATTAGTCTGGACTCTTTCTTTCTTTTGGCATTGCTTCCTGTTGACAGCATGATTTGAACAAAATTACATTCTGTTGATAAAAATGTGCTGAAATGTCTTTCAGTTTCATTGACTGAACAGTCTGAAGTGAGAGGTTTGACAAAATGCATTTTGTCAACAGAATGAACAAAGGTGGGGAATGCACTTCAGGCATACAGGGTGGGGAATTACAGACCAGTTTATGTTTTAAAGTTCAACTCAGAAAATATTAGAAAGAATTTTCGGAGATTCCATGAAGAAGAATTACTTTGGGAAGTCTCATTTGCACAGACACAGCTAATAGTGGAGAAAGGCATTAAGGAGGTTAATGGGCACAAAACTTGTCCAACCATTGTTTGCAAACTCCATGTAATTTTTTAGAATTTCATTCAATAAGTTAACAGAGGTCCACATTCAACTTTTAAGGAGGGCCTGATTGAAAACAAGCGTGACTAGAAATGGAAGTATATTAAAACTTACAAAAACATCTTTTTGAGATCTGCAAAGTTGCTTTTGTTGTAACAATTAACGTAAGATTGATAGATTTTAAACTAATTATCCTAAAGGCAAAGGACTTAAGCACATGCCTAATTTTAAGCACATGAATAATAATTGTCATCAGTGGGCCTTCTCAAGTGCTTAAAATTAAGTTCTTAAATATCTTGCTGGATCAGGGCCAAAATCATGATCAGGCTGTAAGGGAGGGCAGTGTGTCCCAATGGCAGATGGCAGAATGCGCAATGTGGCATTCCTTGTCATGGAACACCTTCATAGGCTATATTGTGTTAGCTATAAAAATGTGATTCGAATCTAAAATAGTAAGAACTGGAGTAGACTTTTCCAAAGAAGCTGAGATATGTATCTGCATGACTCAGTAAAAATGCATCCGAAGAAGTGGGCTGTAGTCCATGAAAGCTTATGCTCTAATAAATTTGTTAGTCTCTAAGGTGCCACAAGTACTCCTGTTCTTCTTTTTTCAGTAAAAATGAGCTCTGAAAAGCAAGGGGTAAGATTCCCTATTGGAGATTATCTGCTAATGCTAATGGGAATCTGTATTGGGGGCAAAGTGGTTGGTTGTTAAAAATAGGCTGAAAAAGAGGAAACAATGGGTGGGACAGGTTCCTACAAACCTCTCAAGCTGGAAGGAAATGAACAATAAGGTTGTTATAGTAGGTCTCATAAATAAAGTGGACTAATGCAGTCTGATTGGAAAGATTTAGATTAGGCTAATATAAGGAAAATGCATTTGATGTAGTAAATGTAAAATAGCTGAGTAATATAGTAAAATAAGTAGCATATACTAACTAGAATAAATTTAGAGCTGACATAGGATTTAGGGGTGATTGTAGAAAACTGTATGAAGTCATAAATCCAGAGCATGGCTACAGTATATAAAGAGAAACAGGTTAGTGTGCCAAGTCCACAGACGCACCCAGTAATCAGATCTCAAGAAGGGACCAGACACACATAGTTAGATCTGATGAACAATCAATTTAATTCATAGGCATCAAAATCTGGCATCAACTAATTTTCAATGTAAATAAGGCCTGCTGTATTTGTGAGAGGTTGGATCTTACTCTTGCTAAGTAAAGGATTTTGGTGTGGATCTATAAAGATATTTGTAATGATAAAGGGTTTTGGTAAAACAAATCAAGATAGATTTATGCTGACTATTTGGATGACATTAAATAGATTAGGACAAACAGGGTGTCTGATGGGATCCATTGGGTGAATGATTCATCATGAGAGATGTTTATGAGACTGTGCACAATGTTAAGTCCTATGGTAGCTTGGAGAGGATCAAAGAGATGGAACAGCAAAAATCTGTTGTCCATCATGATACCACTTCATTTTGGCACTCTGAATTTGTCCATTATCTAATGACTTTGTTATTTTAGTAAATCGGTTTTGTAACATGCCATTTCTAGTTGCTTTCCCACATAAAATTATTTTTGTTGTATATTAAGTCCAATGTAGAGTATCTACAATCCAACTGTTGGTCAGATAAGAGGAGATGGAACAAGAGTCAAGTTTGTGATCAGTTGCATTAGTGGTTCTGTATGTTATCAATGAACTAAATGTTAGATGGTGCAAAATATCCAATGTAATGTCCAACTCATTTTCTCTAAAGATCACTATGGGGATCGGAATACTGTGCCTGGTAAAGAGCTACCTGAAACCAAGTGTTCCAGATCATTATCACCTTTTCAGGACATGGAGGACTTAATTCCATTTTCACACCACGAAAGTCCATTGACTAGTGAAACTCAGTAGAGAATTTGTTCCAGAGGAACAAACCCTATTGCTTGCTTTGTGTACAGATGCTCTATTCAGCTTATACTGTTGTCATAAGTGACTGCCTTTTTTTCATGAAGGCCACAAATGTGTCAACCTAATGGAAATGCATATGCTAAATTTTGCTTACAAAGGGCTATATCCTTGAGCCTGACCAAGTTCTAGTGCATGCAGGACCTGACAGAGGAGGAAGCGCAAAGTGGCCTGTACACCAATTTTGAACCCCTTGATCCTGGAATTGGCTTGATCCTGGTTCAGCCTCCATTTCAAACAGCCCTAAGGCTGCTCTAGTTTGTGTCTGGCTACAATGGACCCTAAGGGGCCTTTGCAGAAGTTGGGGATTTCTAGAACACAACAGTGCTCCAGCGATGCCTTCTTTCCCTTGGTCATACTCCTGACATACCTCCTACACTTGGGTTGCTGGTGGGTTGAGGTGTACTGCTGTACATCTTCAACTGGCCTCTTAAACCAATCTTAAGTCTGCTTGGTGGGGCCAAGGTTCTTGAGCTTTTCAAATAGATGTTAGGTCCACAAGCTTATATGTTATCATGCAATAGGATTCTTGACTCATTCCTCACTGGAATGTGGTGGCTATTCACCTATCATGGTTCTAGGTGCTAAGAGTCACGTGCTTTAATTTTGGCATTATTATCATCCTCTTTCTTAGGGCCCAATTTGGTGAACTACTCACTAGCCTTCAACTTAAACTAATTCAGTGGACATGAGGAATGTTTAGCACAAGCAAGATGAGGATTAGGATGTGCAGATGTTTTTCAGGTGTCATGCATACATTTGTGCTTAAATTGCATGTGATCCAGACTTGCATTAGACACTACGCAAAATGGGTTCCCATCTCAGAAGTGCAACACTTCAGTAGGAACATTCTCCCTTGTCACCAGTCAAACCAGATTTCCTTTTGTATGTTATTGCAGAGTGTCCATAGCTGATGTCAAACAGCCA